GAGGATTATTTCGGAACCACAAATGTTACAAACAAAATAATTTCACCATGTGCTAGATTATTAAATGCAGTTTTAAATTATAACTTAATTGTGCATGGTTGATAACTAAATCAATTTAAATTTTACTGATTCATATAATACCCGCTCAGTTTGACGCCAGAGACCGGTGGCCACGATGTCAGTCAATCAAACAGATTAGAGATCAGGGCTCTTGTGGTAACTACAGTATTATATAAATATTATTTACTTTATAAACGTGAAAATTTGTTCAATACAATTTCACCAAGCTCGTGTTGGGCCATTGCAACGGTGGCGGCCATTTCGGACCGCATATGTATCGCGTCGGGCGGTAGACAACAGCCGGAGATATCGGTTGAGGACGCGTTGGCCTGCAATGGGTTTAGTGACGCCAATTGTGTGGGCAGTCGGCCAGACGTCGCCTGGTTTTACTACATCAGAGAGGGAGTCGTGTCCGGCGGCGGGTATGGCAGCCATCGGGGCTGTAGACCTTATTCAGTGCCCGGCACTGACCCCGCCATTGATAGCGCTTCTACCGGACCCACACCTGTATGCGAGCGCCAGTGTATTGATGGCTATAACAAGACATACGCCAACGACAAACACTACGGATCTTTTGTCTACGGCTTTGACCACAAGAACCGTGAGGTTCAGCGCGAGATCATGACTAACGGTCCCGTTGTGGCCGGATTTGCGGTATGTGATCACTGATTAACCATGTTTAATAATTACTATTTAAAAATTATCATAATTATTTAATGTAAAACTTTATGAATTTTATACATTTGTTGTATTTATTAGGTTTACGCCGATTTTTAACAGTATAAGTCCGGTGTATACCAACAAATGACCGGCGATATTAGAGGCGGACACTCCGTTAAAATAATCAAATGGGGCCGGGAGTCGGGTGTGGACTACTGGCTGGTGGCCAACTCGTGGGGCACCAAATTGGGTGACCGCGGCTTTTTCAAAATACGTCGGGGTAATGATTAGAGCTATATAGAGAGCTTAATTAGCGCAGGTTTACCTAAATTATAAAATTTATATTACATTAAATATTTTAAATTAAATGTACGATAATGGTTAATGCGGCACCCGATTTAAATAAACTGTAATAATGATAAACGATTTAAATTTTATTTAAATTTAACAAAGTATTTAACAAAAACAATAATTAATCATATTATTAAGAGAATAAGAAAAAACCCTATAAGGCATGCCTCCCTGCAATACATGTATGCATTTCATACATACATTGCAAATAGATGCACATAAAAAGCGGCAATAAAGTGCTTATATTGTATACAATGCTACAATGGTGTAATGGTTAGAACGTCGGCACTTAAACTCTATTACCTAGGATCGAAACCTACTGCTGAACATTATTTTATTTGTTTTTTAATTAAGTTTTGGTTTGTGTTTTGAGAGAGAGAGAGAGAGACCGATCTTAATTATGGTCAAAATTATGACCGACGGGTGGTCTAGTACTTATTATTACGGTAGTATTATTTAATATTATTTGAGTATCCTGTTCCCTCTTGATGAAATACGTGATCAAATACATGTTTGTAAACTTGTAACATAATTTACAAAGTATATAAATAAGAGAATATTCTGCGAAATCAACAAAAATCAATATTTATTACTTATTCTATTATTTAATAATACATCGTGATTATCAATTATAATATTTACCACTATAAGTAAAATTAATAATCATGCGATTTTTAATATTAACTGTGTTGCTGATCACTTCGCTTGCAAACCTATCGCACTCTTCTACTTATAGATCGCATAAAGCGATGATTGAAGTGATGGATAGTAAGTATTATTGTTTACACAAATAATTTATTTAATCGTGTTTAACAATGTACCAGGTTGCATGAATGGATCGTTCAATGACTCGTGTGAAGGTCCGGGCAGGCCATGTCCGGTCACGTGTCAAAACATGGACAAACCAACACAGGGTCTCTGCAAAGACATGTGTCCAGTCGGCTGTGAGTGTAATGCGGGTTATGTGCTCTATGACCGCTATAGTAAAGTATGCATCAAGCCCAAATATTGCGGTTCTGTTAAATCTATCTTTGGTTAAAATGTTAATTATATATATTCTGTGTCCCAAAGGATATATTGTATTTAATCTAATTATAAATTACTACTAAACCTGTATTGCATTATTGAGACCGCTTGATGATTTTAACTAGTATTTTTATATTTAAGTAAACGGTTATGAACACAAATATTATTTTAATTTTGTAATTTGTAAGTATTTTTATTCAATTTTTGAAAATCACTTTATAATTATTAATGCGCAAATTGTTTTAGTATAATTTTGTAAAATTATAATTACAAATCTAAAACTTTATTACAATAAAAATAATAAACAATTTTAATTAAATACGATACAAATATTTTATTAGTTTTGAAATGTCAAAATTAAGCTTGTTTGTCTGTGTGTGGTTAAAATACAATCAATTTATAAGTTTTTGATAGAATTTACATTTAAATGAATTAATTGATTAAAAATTCGCAATAAGTTTAAAATAACTTATATGAGTTAAAATTATTCGTAAAGAGCTTAACTTTTTCATTAGCTTTAGTCACAGCTAAAGTAAAATTTTTCAAATGATTGATTCAATGGTTGAAATCGATGTCATAGTTATAATTAGTGATCGGCAATTATCTACCATGGTAGGTTACCCGTTAAGATCCCTACTAGTTAGTTACATTATAAT